TTGGTTTGCTGGTTGTCATTGAACCACCCAGTCGACCATTTACAAGTAGTAGCAGCAGTAGTAGAGTAGTGGTAGTGGTAGTGGTAGGAGTAGTAGTAGTAGTAGTAGTCCTCGTCGCCGTAGTGGTGGTGGTGGTGTCAATGGTGTCAGTAGTGGTGTAGTAGACGCGGGGGATGAGGAGCTGGTCGACGTGTGAGTATGAGAGGAAGGTTTAGCAGTGAGTGCATGGTGATGGTAGTGAGGTGGAAGAGCAGAGGTCGAGGAGGACGTAAGTTTGCTTATTATTTGAGGTTTGAGGCCCAGATGAGCGTGGGATACCAAATTTTGGACAATTCGACTCCAAAGCATGGCAAAATCACGAAAGCGGGTCTCGTGCGGTTAGCTTTTGCATGCGCTCAAGTGTGGTTGCAGAAGGGCCTTTCGAGGAGGTGACGGAGTTACGATGATAACAAGCATTGACAGCTAGCAGTGTCTCGAGCCTTTTTGGACTGCAACAATGCGGGGAGACACAATGCCTGTGTTGACAGCCCACTTCCTTCAAAGCAAGAGGAAGTCTCATTACCTGAAGTCACCGCTTTACTTGAGCATGGTTTTCATTGCGTGACAAAATTCCAACATCTTGAGCAAGCCGGAGGCTGCTTCCGAAGACCCGAAACTTGCACCTCGAGCATTGGCCGCCTCAGATTCTCGCGGCCGCGTACCAGGTTTGCTGGAAGAAGTTCTTGGAGACTTTGAGGGTGAAGTGCAGCTCCCGCTTCCCGCTGCCACATCGCCGGCACCACCCCGATCAGCAGAGGCAGTTCTCGCAAAGCTGCGGGCTGCCAGGCTAAAACAACGTTTGGGAATTGCGGACTTGCAAGCGCTGGGTGATGTGAGCGGCGATGGACGCCTGACATGCGCGGAACTGGCGAAGGTCTTCAAAGCTGTCCCCTTGCCAACAATAGATGTGCATGTTTTCCAGAAAGTGAGCTGCTGCTTGCATTTTAGTTTGCCTTCCTTGCATGTCTTTCCGGCCAGGCATATTTATTCCCCACCCTCAAAGTGGGGCTATGAGATTCTGTCAAGTGTATGTTCTCTTTGTTGCGCCTAACCGCACACAGTCTCCTTGTAGTGCCCAAGCACAGGGTAGCCCGTACAGCCCCTCCAAGCGGACCCTATGTGGGCCTTGTCGCCGTTGTAAGAGACCTAAGTCGGTTTTGTACAAAAACTCAGCCTGCTTTTATCCAGGGAGATGGGCTGCAGAATCGATTAACACCACAAGTGCTGGACAAGCACTTTAGGTTGGGGATGCTCGATGTAAATCATGCATGGTCAGCACATTGGTAGAGTTGAATTCAAATAGCACCCATGTGGACCACTGCATCGGGTAACTCAGCCTTGCAGAGGTTGGGATCAGTGCAGACGACGAGCTTGTCCAAGAGGTCTTCAGCCATATTGATAGCAACGGCAATGGCAAAATGAGTTTGTTTGAGCTTTTCCAGGCCATGAAGCCATCCAGTGTGGAGATATTAAATGCGTTGAGAAACATCAAGGATCGCAAACATGTCTCGCTGTCAACCTTGTTTCGTCCATACGATTCCAATGGAGATGACAAACTGACACCGTCTGAATTCCATCGGATGCTGGATGATCTGGGATTCGAACTGGATAGCGGATCAGTGCGGGATCTATTGACGCTCATTGTCCGAGATGCCGGTGGTGGTTTGTTGTCACTGCGTGATCTCTCGTTGGCCCTTGAGCAAACAGGCAGCGGGGCTTGCTTTAGTGCCAAAAGCTTGAGCAACAAGCACGACCCTTGCCACAATAAGAAGAAGATCACCTCGAATAGCAGCATCAAAACCTTGATGCTTGACGCACACCAGCGAGGGCAAGGCAGTAATTAAACGTTGTCAAGCACAGATAAGGCAGAACGAACGCTTTTATTTCAAAATGCAAACGAGGGCCGCACCGCAGATGGCCGAACGTGTCTGGGAAGGTCAACCCAGGTGGGCTATGGTAGACTTGTCTCAGAGGCATGTCAGCTAGCAGGCGTAGCAGCATAAACGGAATGGGTAAGAAGGTGGGTGCCAGTTCTCCGGACTTGCCGCCAGCTTCGAAAAAAGCCGTGTTTGTGGCCAGTGTAGGCATCCAGTATGCCTTGACTAATTGGTGTCTTTTAAACTCCTGTGCAATGCCAATGCGCCACATTTCATTCATGCTGAGTCGGAGGCCAGCCAGATGCACCCGCAGGCCGGCGCCCAAAGGCCGGCGCAGCTACGGAGTCCACGTATTTGCTTTCTCCCCTCATGCCTCCGGAAGTGGCAGCGGATGCGTCCGCGACAAAAGGTGCGGTGAACCCAGATCTCGGAGTTATAACCTCTCCAAAGCGGTCACCAGCACCGTCTCCAGCTGCGATCAGTCAAGCAGCTCCACTTTGCCAAGAAGGTCAGGCAAGAAAGGATCATCTCGAAAGCAAATCCGAGTCGGACGACTTTTCGCTGAAGTATTTTAGCCGCCCTCAGCATTGCTCGACACCAAGCGGGCTGCCTTTGAGCTCACAGGCATGGGAAAGTTTGAGTCGCATATTCTACAGGCTAGCGCAACAAAACAAGGAGGCTGTGACTGCAGAATTGATTTCAGCAATACGTGCAGACGTTCGCGTAAGGAACGAGGGTCTGCTACATCGACCGGTGACTTCAGCTGAGGAGAGCGGGATCCCTGCGATTTCTTTGGACGCAGCACTTCAGCAGGTCAGCAGCCAAGTGCAGCTTGGTACTGGGCACATGGACATGGTGACTTGGGACCGCTTCTACTGGTTGCTTCTGGAAGCACACAGGTATCGTGCGTCACCCCACCTTCAACCAGCCTCAAAACCGTTTGCAGCAAGTCAGAGCCTGCCAGATGTTGCGTTTTCCATGGCAAGCTGCCCGGTCAACCCTAATGAAGCACCTGGCGCTTCCATTCAGACCTTGCCTTAGCTCGGCTTGCGTGTTCTTCAAGGGCTCGCGTGTGCTAGTGCCACAGCTTACGCCTTGCAACTTAGGTGGTTAGTACGTGAGTGCGGCTGCGACCAGGACATTTTGCAGCGACTCTTCGAAAAATTTACATACTGCCGCAGAACTGATCCTCTCCATGCACCCCGGGATGGCTTTGTCAGCGCAGTGCAGCAGAGCACAAGACTATACGCTGCGCTTACAACAACATCTTTGTTGTCGGTCCCTGGCGTTGCGAGGCCGATGAACTGGGGGGATGTTCTTTGGCAACTTTCATGCATGGAAGCTCCGACACTGTCCTGGGCTGACCTTGTGGCAGTGGTGTGCTGGTGCCGAGCTTGGAGTCTGGGTCTCCCCACCTCAGAAGCTTCAGCGTCCTCCTTCCCTGCACGACCAACTTCGCTTGTCCAAGTCTCGGCAGCCAAAGCCCGTTTGGATTCATTGCTACGAGACCGAGCGGTGAGGTCATCAGACACGTCTGCAAGGGATGGACTGTCGCCGAGGCATGGCCAGGCGCGAGAGCGAGAGAAGCAGCCTTTGCCATCCATGCATGCGAAACTTCCGGAGCATTTGCAAAGCGGCTCCCCACTGGAGACGGTCAGCAGAAGACTGGCGCAGGCGTCAGGGTTTGCCTTGCCCCCACGTGCACATCGTTCAAAGCATCCTTGGCTGGACGACTCAGATGATGATGCTCCTTCACGCGCAGACAGGCAATACGTTCGAGCTCCAGAAGTTCCTCATCTGTCCCCTCGACATGAAGTGATGGCCCCAAAGCCTGCAGCTGCGTTGCGGTTGCAGCTCCCCGCTGAAGCACAGCTGCCAAATCCCACTGAGCTTCAAAAGCTGGAAGGAGAGCTTGCCAAAATCCTAAACATGCCCGTTCAAGCTGTCAGGCTGCAGGGCATGAGGCCGCTCTGAAGATAATCCAACATGTTTCATGCATTGCGCAAAATGCGCTGCCTGTACTATAGTCTGTTGCAAGACGTGGCCGACGATGCCCGATGCTGCAGAAAGTTGTTTGCCAGGTGCGATCATGAGCTCCTGCCGCTGTATGGCATATGCTGGTAGCGCCAACATACTGGCTAGTCTGCTCGTATCCTGCTCCTTCGGGCCTTTGCTCTGGCTAAACTCAGCGTTAAAAGACTAATGATGGGAAGGGAGAGGGCGCGGCAAGTGCCGCCGAGGAACGCCGCGTCGAATCCCCAGCTTTCAAGAACAAGCTCCTACGTACTTCCTGCCCATGCGGGGTGAGCTGAGGCCTTAGCACCACAGAGATCCTCTAGCGGACTCTTGGGGACCAGGCGGGCGATCAAAAACAGATGCCTGCGCAAATGCACATCAACTTTGCTGAAGGCCGGCAATCTGACGCATGGCTGGCCTTGAGCGATCAGGTGGCCTCGCAGTTCTAAAAAAGCAGGGGCTTCTGCATGATGTGTTGTGGGCTTTTTGGCCAGAGAGGGGGATCCAACTCTGAATGCTTCAGTACTGCGCATATCGGATCAGCAAACATATGCAAACATCAATTGAAGCGGTCCCGTAGGCTTAAGAGTCTGTACCGCTTCTTCTCCCATGCTTCACTCTGCGACAGTCCTCTCCCACAGCGCCTGCTGTAAGCCATGCGCAGGAAAGCTACATGGACAGCTCCTGTGCTGGCTTGCTTTCGGATTGAAATTAGTGGGTCATGACCTCAATCGCTAAATGTTTGAACATTGCGTGAGCTTATGGCATTGCTTGCAAGAAGCGGCCGGCGTCTTCGACAAGAATGTCGTGGGTGTGGCATCGTGCTGGCCTTGATGCCTGCTCACCTGGCACTGCTTCCTCCGCTTGGTCGAAAAGGCATTTGTTCGGGTCCAGCCCAGAGCGCCGGGCTTATCACAAGTCGGTTATTCAGCACGAACCCACTGAGACAATGGAGAAAAAAACCAGATGAGGTGGGACCTGCCTGCCAACAATCGGCTGGCAGCAGAGAAGTACTGGAAGGTGCCCCGCGCTCCGCAGAATCAAACTGGCGCAAAGGCGCTGATGTTTTGGATGCAGCGAATACAGCCAGGCCAAAGATCTCGAAGAAGCCCAGCTTCGCGCCAAGCTTGAGGCCGGGACTCGGGTAACTTGAGAAATGGGGCAGCCACAAGAAATGTCATGTTTGAAAGGCTGCCGGGCGGCAACTTCAGCAGCAAGCGTACCGATCTTATCCAGCTCAGAGCCTTGTGTGCAGGGCGAAGCAGTGCATGTGGCGTCAGGCCTCCGTACAAGTTCTTCAAGACACCTCCATACGTTAACATAGTGGACCTGACCTTGGTATCTTCTGCTATGTTGACCTGCGGAGCATTCGCTAATAACGCCCTGTCCTGTAGAGGTGTTCGACTCGCATGATTCCAACTGCGACGTAAACTTTGAGCCGGCACCTTCAGAAAGTGTCAATCGTGCTAGGTCACATGCTCTTGCTAGGAGATTGCGTGCTGCAGCAGGGACTTGGCGGTGCTGATGCATGTAGCTAAGGTCTCCCGCCGTAACAGACCCAAACCAGGTGGGCTATCCAGCAGACGGTCAGTCTCTCAGAGAGCTTGCCCGGACTGACTATAGCTGATCAGTGATCAGAAGCTTGCTGAGGCACTGCTTCCTTGCGTCAAGCGCACATGGCATGCTGGAGACTCAGCTTAGCCGATGTGCCTTTGTGCTCCTCGCTGTTCCGGGCAGAATTCTGAAGCCTTCCGAAGGTGGCGTAGCACCAGCTCGCTTCGTTTTCACAACTTCCGATTGGCCGGCCTACGAAGACATGTCAAGGCCTCAGGCAACCGCAGCATGAACATGCACTCCGTTGCAAAGCCATGTCGATTGCACCCAGCATGAATGTGCAGAACTTGTATCCACTTCTTGGGCTTCCAGCACCTTCAACCTTTCGAGAAGTTCCCCGCCGGGCTCACGCAAGCATGCCTGAGCATCTCGTGTCGCAGGGTTTGTGAAGGGCAGACAGCGCAGACATGCTGCACATATTTCCCGTAAGCTGCCTTTGCGGACCGGCTGGATGCAGATCTACGCCCTGCAGAGAGGGAAAGCGCAGAGCGCACCCTTTCCCCAAGTTACGCCGTCAAAGGAAGACCATACAAGAGACAACGGTCCCGCAGGTCACGGCTGCTTAATGTTGCCAGCACTTCTTTTGTGTATGCTTCTTTGCCTGACAGCCAACGCAGAAAATTCCGGGGTGCATCCCAGACTCAGCCTTCACAACACGTCCAGGGATCTGCCTACTATTTGGATTGTAAGTGCTGATGAACAAGTCCTGTTATGCAGCCTTGTGACTGCAAGCGCGTGTTGCCTGTGCGCATGAGTGGCTGCAAAACTAAGAGCACTTGCACTTTTCAGGACTGTGGATGCCAAGATGCAGGCAGCTTTGTTGGGAGATGTGCTCGCTTTGCGCATCATTGATTTTGGTCATGGTTGTTTGCTGCGGTGCGTCGCAGATACGCATCACGTGCTCCCAAGCTCTCTTCGTAGAGTCACGAGCTCGGATACCTCCCCCAGAGTCTTTGACAAGAGCTGCAAGATGCAAGGTCTCTCACATGCGAAAATGTCTTAGACGCCACTGGTGACTTTCCACGAATTGAAGGGTGCCGATTTATGGATCATGAGGCCAATGAAGGGATCAGCTGACGGCAATCCTGTCTCGATAGCTGCTCTCACGATATGGCAGGCCCGCTTGATCCTGCAGACTCGCCTCAAGATACGTGTGGGCCTGTGTGTTGGGCATTTGTGCCCTGCAATGTCGATATATGTCGACTTTCGCATCAAAGGGTCCATTTCTTGGCACATGTAGAAGACTTCGGTGCTTAGGGGGACCTGACTCAACGATAGCACCCCTCACCTTGTATGCGTAGCAAGCAAAGCACCATCTTTGCAACATCCCAAGCAATGTGATGCTGAGAAACGACATACTCGCTGACCTTGAAACTGCTGCTGTTCGCGGCTTAGACGGAGCATTTACGATCTCTGTTTCTGGCTTATCTCAAAAATGCAAATTGTGGCAAAGGCCCCCTGGCAGGATGACCGCAGCTGAAAACAATTATGTTTTCACCACGGAGCTGGGGTCCTAAGAATTCTCTTGATGGCACCAGACGGGAAACAGCTGTGCCACTTCGGCATACCGAGGTTTGACCCCATGACTGTCATCGAGGGTACGGAGACGTCCATTGACTTGGGCTACACGGCCCGGAGCTTTCAAGACTGAGAATGTCCTTTGTCTGTTCTTGTTTTGCAAGGTGCCACATGCAAAAGATGAAGCAGCGTACCCAGGGACCTACCAGACGCGAGGCCATGGCGCCGGGGTGAACCTTCGCCTGTGCCGGTAAATGGGCGCATGCACGAGGCTACATCACGGGCTTTTTTTACGGAGCTTGGACACCCACGCCAGATGTCACAGCCTGAGCGAGAGCTACTCTGAATGCTGCCAACAGACGCGCTCATCCCAAGCTGATCGCCAATCTGCAGGGGCGAATGCTCATCACCTTTGGCATTCGTACCTTCGGGTTCATGAACACAGCGTACAACATCGACGTTGTGGCATATCCTACCAATGTTCCAGCCCGAGCAGGGCCGTCCTTGCGCGCTGACTCTTGCAGTGATCCATGCTTTGCCAAAGGTTTGGAAGCTGGGTACTCCTGGAACCGATTGCGAGGATTATGGGCGAGAGCCTGACCGTGAACACAAGCGCTTGACAACATCTAGTAGCTTAGTAGCGCAGGGTCAAAAAACCGCATGCTGCTTCACCTCAGGCAGCCACATGTCGGCACGACTTGCCGACTTAGGCCAGGCCTTACCGATGCAGCTAAAATTTAGCAAGCCTGCCAAACCGCCTTGCAATTACATCGCGGGGGGGCGGGGGGGGAGGGGGTTGATCGTGATTATGAAAGGTTCCTCCAGTCCCTCCACAACTACTAGCTAGATCTGCCAGGTTGAAACACCCATCGAATCAAACAGGTGAAGCATGAGATGGGCCCATGTTGGATGGGGCTTGCACCTTCTACATGGCTGGTTTGGAAGAAGAGTTTCTGTCATCTGCACAGGACAAATGAGAGGTATTACCGCAGGCGAGGCAACGCCTGCCCAAAATCAAACGTCCATGTGGCAGGTCGTTCCAAGGAGCTTTGGCTTCAGAGCTGGAGCCTTGGAAGGGAATGGATGGGTTTCTTCGGCTAATGCTTGCTTTGCTTGCTTTCAGGGCAAATGGCTTCCGCTTAGATGTTGGCTGGGGCCTCTGCTCCCACGCCCCTCTAGTATGTGTTGCAGGCATGTGCAGCGTCAAGGTACCACACCCATGGTGAACCTGGGCAGCCAGGGTGCGGCTGAAGTTACTTTGCCCGGCTCTTGTGTCGATTTCAGTTTCAATCATGAAGCTCAGCTTGATCTTCACAATCCAAACATGATCTAAGGGGCATTCCGAAGCCTCCAACAGCTGTGAACATGTGCTCTCCAAAGATTCATGCCTCACCCCTACTTGTAAGCAGAACGCATCCTGTTCGGAAGGTACTGGACTGCGACTTCGTTTCGAATCGATCAGGAGATCATGAACACGTGCATCCATGATGATTTGTTTTGGTTCCTTGCCTCAGAACACAATCTCACAATCTTTTCCCTGGAGGACCAGCTACCACAGGAACCATTCACGGTCTTCAGCGATAGACCCGTGAGTGCCCGTGCCTTTGCAGTGTTTTGCTAGCGTGAATGTTTAGGTCCACATGGTCCACAGAGATCAGCTCGTAGTAAGGTCATGGGCACGCCTACCGGACGAATAGCAGCGTCTCGGGCTCAGCCTTGGCATTAGGCCGGGCGGTGAGAGGCCAAGGCAGGCCATGTTTGGATTTCTCTGCTCCTGGGTCCAATGCAAGTTCTTCAGCCATAAGGTTTGAGCGTGGTGACGTCAATGTTGAGCAGTGGGATCTGGCCTGAGACAACATGCAGCCCGTGTGCGTGTGACGATTGCCCTTCGATTCATGTGGCAGATGATTCCAACAACTCAGCAACTCCAAGACCTGATTATTTCAAGTGCCTATGTTCTTGATTGCAACACAGTTTAGCAAGCCTCCTCCCTGCAGGTCTAGTTTGTGGCTCAAGATGACTGGTAGAGCCGTGAAAAGGGGGGAGAGATGGTGATAATTTCGATCATCTCGAGCAGCTAATTCAGCATGTTCTGGGGCTGCAGCAAGCAGCGCTGTTCATCGAGCGTTTGTGACTCAAACTGCCGGGTCTCAGAGTTAACCTTCTTCGGCACTCAGGATGAGGTGCAAGAAGGGAAGGCTCACTCATCCAGCGAGCTTGTACCGGAGGCTCGTGCAGAGTTCACATATGAGAACGGCGAGGCATACCTTGGTCAATGGGTTGGTACAGAACGGCACGGCCATGGTGTTCACCGTTGGCCGAATGGTGCCAAGTACGAAGGTCAGTTCGAGAGAAACCGAGCGAATGGTCAGGGCACATTCCAGTTTCCAAATGGCGGTGTGTATGAAGGCCAATGGAAGGCAGATCGTGCACATGGCCACGGAAGTTACAGACACTTTGACCAGGCCTCATATGATGGCCAGTGGCGCAATGACAAGCAACACGGCGAAGGTGTTGAGCTCTGGCCAGACGGTGCTCGATTCGAAGGTCAGCACCGGGAAGGCCAGAAAAGTGGTAAAGGCAAACTGTTGTGGCCGGATGGGTCTAGCTACTCTGGAAACTTTGAGTCCAACACGCTCCATGGCGACGGCGTGTATCGCTGGGCAGATGGCAAAGAGTACAGCGGCCAGTGGGCCAGAGATCGCATGAGTGGTGCAGGATGTTTCACCTGGCCAGATGGTCGCGTCTATACTGGCCAGTATTTCGACAATCAGAAGCATGGCCAAGGCATGATGCGGTGGCCCGATGGAGGCCTCTACGAGGGTCAATGGGCCAAGGGCCTTCAGCATGGAAGCGGCACACATACCTCCTCTTCTGGTGCTTGTTCCTCTGGCACCTGGGAAGCTGGCCGATTCACTGGCTGAATCCAGCCGCATCGACATCTCACTGACCAATGCGTCGTTCATTCAGGGATCAGAGCGCAAAGCCCTCCGAATCCTTATGCAGAGACTGCTGTGCTCAGTCACAACATGTCACCGCACTGTTCTCAACAAGCCGCAGCGTGCCGATGAGTTCGACATGACATGCTCCTTGCTGTGTCCCACACGTGGACACTGTTGTTTGGCCCTCTCAGGTGGTCCTGGAGTTCAAGCCCGGCAATACTGTCATGCCAATGGCCCTGAAAAGCAGCTGCTTTGTGCTTCAAATGTCTTTCTCTTGAACAAGGCCTGGCACAGAAATGTCGGGCATGATTGTCATCATGCCGCCGCCAACCTTCACCATCGTTGCCAGCGCTGCGCCGCAGCTGCCGTGGACACAGCAGTGCGGTTGTATCCTACAGAGCCTCAAGTTTGCATGTTTCCCAGGCCTTCCACGACCTACAATGAGCTCCCCTGCACGTGCAAGTCTGAGCTGGAAAGCCTTGCTTGACATGCATGGTTTCTCGATTCTTCAATTGAGTTAGCTCTACAAAACGTTTGTGAGCATTCAGAATTGCATTCATGACTGCTCACAGGCTTCAATCAATCAATCAATCAATCAATCAATCTTCAGATGAATCTAGAATGTTGGACGCGCGTTGGGTCATATTCAGTTTTTCTGAGGTTCACTGCCACCTGAGATTTGACGCCTGCGTGAGAGAATGTGAGTGAGCTGCGAGGTCCTGGCCAGAAGCAGATCGACTGGCAGGGTGACTGTCTGACAATGCATCGGCCAAACAGAACCTGAGTTTGCTTGCCTGTGTTGCTGAGGCGGTGGGTGTGTCCCTTGGCAGACACGGCACCGTTCAAGGAGACCACGTATGGAGTCAGGCTGAAGGCACGGTTCGGATCCGCCTTTGACGGCTGGAACAAAGCAGCTTGGTGAGGTCATGAACCCGTCGGATCCAGGCGCAGCTCGGTCGTGGCGTGCACCCGCCTCAACTCCTAAGCAATCAGCGCATGTTTGCGCTAAACTTGTGAATGGGATTTTGACTTTCCTTTCTCAGATCGAGCTTTGGGAGCAAGATGCTGCGAAGCCAGCCAGGGCCTCTTTTTTGATCTGAGCTTGAGGCTTTTTGCTTGATGGAACAGCGCGAGGTGGCTGCCACCCGCGGGATTCGAGGAATGGAAGTGCTGGAAGCTTTGTGCTGCGGAACCGATACAGTCCAATCCAGAAGAGCAGCCAGCTAAGGTCTGGCCCCATGCAGGCGGCTCTGTCCCAGGAGAAACAGCTTCTGGGCAGCCGGAACCTCGACAGCTGCACTTCAGGGGCAACTGACAGCAAGACAACAGCCAAGGCATCAATACCATTCGCTTTGACATCATTCCTTCGCAGCCAATTGGCAATGTTCCCAACACTCGACTACGGGTTGTGGCTGGGGCCGCGGCATGCTGTAGAGTGGCTCGTAGCTTTCAGGGAGTCTGACTGCAGGCACCGCCCGGCTTCGTCATCATTAAACGATGTCCGATGCCTGACGATCCTTCGCACATAGTTTCAGTGAGGCGGCTGGCTTAGCTCCAGGTCTGAACTTCCAGCGGATCGAGTTGCCAGAGTGCGATTGCATAGGCCACGGGTGCTTGCTTGCCTGTCCTTTTTCTGCTAGGAGATGCGCACGGGCCCATAACTTCTTGTGGACTTGAGGAGTCTGCAGGGACCGGTTTCCCCAAAGCCAAGGGGTAGGGCAAAGCTGCCACAAAGACATGCAGACGTGTTCTGGCACGACAGTGCATGATAGTACATGTCGTGGATTTCTGAAGGCTCCGATTCCAATTCATTCGAGCTTGTATTTCACGAGCCGGGCCGGGAGCGCAGCTCATGCCACATTGGCACATAATGTTTGGCACAGTCTTTCATGCAAGGTGCCATTCAGGGAGGCACGCAGTACTCCTTCTCACTCCAGGCTGGCACGTCTTTCAGCATGCTGACAGAAGACAGTTGAAAGAGCAGTTCTTTTTTGCCAGATGCAGAACCCAGAAAACTACATAGCTGACGACCTGAATGTCTGGTCTTTTGACACCCTTCGACCAGATGGAGTTGCTCGCGTGCTGAGCCCAGTTGTATGCCTCCGCATGAAAGACGTGAGGCGAGTCAAGCGCCGGCTTCTTTTGTCAAAGCTGTCTGCTTCGCCGAGGATACAGCTCGCTCTCAGGGCTTCTTCTTGTATCCTTACGAGCTGCCCGGCTTGACCCGAGTCGAGCTAGCACAAGGCATGCCATCGCAGGCCAGATATGTGTCCCATATCCCAAATCATCAGAGCCTAGGTTCTCATCGTTCGTGGTGGTGCCGCTCATGCGCAAGGCTGCTGTATGTTTGGGTTCACGGACAAAGCCTCTACAAAGTACTTCTCTTCTTTTTAAACTCCTTGTGCATCTAGGATGGTCCCAAGGGTGCAGCTCTGTGCAGCTTAGCAGCTTAGACAAACTTGCCCCGCAGCCCGGCCCACAAACCGTCGTGGTCCGCTTCATATCGCCTCTGTCATGGCCTTGGCGTCACTTTAAACAACCAGAGTAGCATGTCAATGCGACAACCTCAGGCTCATCCCGTTTGATGACTACATCCGCATTCGGGCTCCTGTCGGCGTGGCATGGTACGCTGCAGACCTGCAGTTCAGCACGGAAGCTGCCAGATGCTCAGAGCGAGCCCTCGCTGGATCCCCTGCTGACATACCAGCAGCACTTGGGTTTTGAGAAGGCGCTGACACAAGCAAATCTGCTTGGGGCACAAGACCCAACTGTGGAGTTTGAAACGCCCAATGCCGCTGCCCAAGACTGCGTCGTTGATCGAAGTCCGTCTGTGAGCATGACCAAGCGCTCAGTACTTTCGCAAATTTGCGATCTCAGGAGCTTGCTGTACAGCTCACCACCACTGCAGAAGCCAACTTTGAGCTTGATGCTCGGGTGTTAGATGGCAGAGCTGTGAGCAGCCATCGTATGTGCCAACTCAGGTATGGCATGGCAGCCAGAGCAGAGATTCCGCAATCTACGTGGCCAGTCTAAGATGTTAGTCTGCATTTGCTGCAGTTTCTGCTGGAACCCACAGCCTCAGGCCAGTGCCGAATGCCTGGTGGATTGAACAGTGCTTGCCTGAGGGGCCCTCTCTGCACAGTTGCTCAAGCTGAGACATCAACGTGAATGAGCTTCCTCATGAAGCATGCATTAGGTATCGCCGAACAGGGCTTCCTGCACCAAACAGCTGGCGGTATATCGCATCCAAAGGGGCCTCAGGATTCAAGACGCAAGTTCTTGTGAACACCAGGGCAGCAGACTTAGCATTCCAAATCACCTCTTTCTGTGGCGCCGTAACGTTGCCCTATGAGATCGTATGGGCATCTCGCAGCATGTCAGGTCGAGCCATTCAACATTGTTGCAGAGGGATGGCAGAACCCAACGCTTTTCGCTGCTCGGCTGCGCTCATGCAAGAGAAGCATTTTCCCTTAACAGGAGGTTTTGTGAGGAGATGTGAGAAGGTTCATGCCAAGCGCAGCAACACCTTGCGACGGGAGTCATGTGCAGGAAAAGCTGGAACTGCGGCAGAGGCATTTTCAGGCGATAGTAGTCAAGTCTCTTCGACGGAACTGGCTCTTCCGTTGTGAAACGCATGGGAATAGATTGCTAATAAAGATCGACACAGACCAAGCACTCTGCGAGGAAGGAGTTCACATCTGTATGGCGCTGGCATCCAGAGGAAATGGCTTTACAACAACGGGTATCCAACCCTTGGCAATGCAGAACATGTTGTCGGCTGGCGATTGTTGACATTACATGCTAAGCGTACAACGTCGCAATTGCTAGTCCGTGGCGTGGTGCGCGTGCGTCAGCCACAGTCGATCTAGCATGGTCCCAGAACGGGCAGCGGTGCACAGCATTCTATTTGTGGAAACCAGTTCAAGTCTGCCTGGCCGGAGTTCTTTCAAAGACTGCACATGATGGAAATGCACAACATCTTCGCCCTAGCCCAAACAGCTCTGCAAGGTCTTTGAGACAACCATGGAGGTGCTGAACTTAACTGAAGGATATGTTCCATGTCGCTCCTTGCAACGGTGATTGCTAGGGCTTTGATCGCAGTCACATCGCGCCAGCGCCATAGGTCATGCCCTTCCTCCAAGCAACAGCGTCTGGGTCAGCTGCCTGGGCGAATGCCGCGCAAACAGGAGAGTTGAATGCCTGTTGCTGGCACTACTAAGGACAGAGCTCATTCCGGCCATGCTCCTCGTGGAAGCACCACCAGGGCGCATGCTTCAGTACAGAAGTTGTCAAATGTTCGAGCACGCTGCTACGCGCATTTGCTCACACTGAGGTTCACCTACATTTGCCCGTTGTCTCCCACGGTGTATATGCCAACCTATTCTATTTCTCTGCCAAGCGATGTGTCCTGCAATGTTGACCACAACACGCTCGCAAATCGCAACAAGCAGCGGCCTTAATGTGCTACAGCCGGCGCTGCTACAAACCTTGTTACATGCTGGCTGCACCCAAGCTTTCTGAGGCTGTTCCTGGAACTACCGTCTGGGCTGCAGGCTGCTGGGCGTCATGGAATGAAGTTTGCCAAACAACAGCCTGAACGCAGGGCGATACACGATATGCCTTCACCATTGACGTCGTGAATGCCAGGCCAGGTGATGCAGGAGAGGGCATCAGAAGCTGAGATCAGATAGCGGATGGCGTGAACAGGTTCATTGACCCCTTGCGAAACTTCTTCCGCTTGGCCACCATGCTTGCTGGCGAGGCCCTCCATTATCCTAAGAGCAGAATGCAGAAGACATCCAAGTCATGAGCGGCAGAATGACGAAGTGTACGAAAGAGGTTTCCATGTGCACTGGCACTGTGTTCCCTTGCAGTCACGCTGGCTCACGTCCACAATGCTGTAGCAAGAAGAGCCATGCCAGCGAACTAGGCAAAGAGGCATATGCTCTCCAGAGTCACTTGGCGGGTGACAGTGCCACCAGTTTGGGTGTTTTTTTCAAAAGGAGCGCTCTTTTGAGGTGCTCGAGCAGGAGTTGCGCTGCATGTTCAATCATGTCATAGGGAGGCATGCCCAAGGTCACTGTGATTGCAATATTGGCCCTGTGCGCCCCTGGTGGGCAGACAAGAACATGCTCGAGTCTGCAGCAGTATGACACTGGGCCATTTTCAGGTATGTTCGGCATTCACATTTCCTCTTTGAGATAGGCGTATTCAACTTCAACAAGCCAGTCCCTGTTATCTCTGAGCAGGTTGATTGGGCAGTGAACTGGACAAACAGCTGCCATCCAAGTCCCACTGCGGGCACCAACTTTTCGTGGTTTGAGTCCTGCAGTTGGATTGCATGCGACTGCCTGTGGGGAGCCCTGTCCGCTCCAGTGGCCACCGATGAGCTGGCACCCTGCTTGGAGGAGTCCATTGTCATGCAGTTGCTTGATCAGGAAACTCTGCTACCAAAGCACTTTGTGATGTTCTTTGGCAGGGAGACGGCAAAAAACTTACATTCTAAGTTGCTTCTGGCAGTAAGCATGCTGCCAAAAAAAGCTGCAGCTGAAACTTGCCTTGAAAATATGGCTGGGCCTGTGCGATGGTGAAAAAGCAGCTCCAGACTGTATCGCAGGCTGCAGACACTGGCCCCTAAATTCCCTGATATGTTTCTTAGACATACTTGTTTGTTTTGATCCTCTTGGCGTTCTCGGCATGGTACGCGGTCTAGCAAGGGGCGCGATAAAGGAACAAGTTTGCATCTCGCAGTTCTACGGGAATGGTCTGAATGCCAATAGCATAGCCTTTCCCTAAAACCTTTCAACCTAAGGAGACGAAATGGTTTTTGACATCGTTGTTGCGAACATGCAGGTCACAAACATATGAACTGTCCAAGCCCTGTGGCAAGTGCGATAAGTACAGAGACTTCCATCAATGCGGAGCTTTAGCATGAGCGGCTGCTCGCTGGAGACGTGAGTCCATCAGTTTCACCGCCCCTGGAGCCGCCGAGAGTTTCACCTACAAGTAGCAAGATGCGTCTGTGCAATGGCAGAGACTGTCAAAAATCACGCCTTGTGCACATGCGGCGCTTCACAATGGTTTTGCAAGCTTGACTTAGGTTGTTGTTTTGTGGCTCTGTTCTCGTAGCAGGTTGTGGAAGAAGCAAATGCAGCAGGGTTTCAGTCAGAAGCTCGGAAAACTCACTAAAAAACTAGCCACGTGGGCGTTTGACCGCAGAGCAATTCATGCAGTCGCCTTCAGGCACGATTGGCTTACAGAGGGCTTGAGAAGCTGAGGCTGGCCCAGAGGATGGACAACACGCGCTACATGCAATATGAGATCCGAGAGGACATGCTCTGCTTGCGCACGGAGGGAATCAATTGAGAAGGCACCTGGCATATCCTGGCATTGCAGGCCCCCAACTGAATGCGCCCCGGGTTTATCCCGCAGACGGACCCCTGAAGCTGCAAGCACAGACAGAGTGGAGAAAACTTCAGCAAAGAGGCTGCATGCCACACATGCCGAGAGGACTGGCAAAAGGAATCGATTTGTTGGCCACGCAGATATTCTCAAAGAATGGAAGTCACGTGTTTCTAGATATCTTCGATGCTCGTGAATGTCTTCAGCAGGACCAGATAGAAACTTTGTTTGCGAATTCCTGTCGCACAGAAAATCTAACGAGTGATTCTGGATGGGGAAAGCAGGCGACGTAGGACCACGAAAGAGGAGCAGAATGGGGTAACGTCAATATGGAATAACTGAGGGATTGTATGTGCCTGGCGTGCAGGCAAGGCAAGAAGGCAAAATCAACCTCCATGTGGCGAGCGTAGCTCCTTGACTTGTAGTCCTGAGTCAAGAGACATGGGAAATCGGGTAGCTGACCTTCAGAAAAACGCAGGCCCTCGTCAAAAGCTTCCTGCGGTTTGAGAGAGCGTGAAACGGTGCAACCTGCGGTACTGATACTAGCAAGGCTTTGAGGTTCTTCGAGACCTATGTATCCTTGCGCCAGAAGGACCGTGTGGTGGAAGCAACATCAAATGTCGCCGACTTGGTAACTGATTCATAACCACCCCTGAGACTGACAAGACGACTTGTCTCTCCTCCTGCAAGGTGGTGTCCTTTGTAATCGGTACTACCTTGGCAGTGACCGAGCCGACCGTACCACGGCATGTGCTGTGGGTTGTGTGCTTCGTGGCAGTTTGCTGACGGGGTGCAGAAGTTGTTGGAGCAACATGGCAAGGTACTTGAAGTGCGAGCTCCTGTTGCTTCCTTAGCTGGATCATTTTGCCTCTGTACCCTGACGGTGTTGCTAATTTGCCGCAGTGCGCTGGACTAAGATCGGTTTCAAAATCGCCCACTCCTGCGACGGCCAGGTACGCTCCTGATTACACCCTGTTGGGTAGAGAATCCTTGAAAATGCTTGCGAGGCAGCCGGATTGTCCTAAAAGATGTGCTACGGCATAAGAATACTGGCAATGGTGAAGTGAAGTGAGGGTGTCCTCCCCCTCTACTGCAGCGTGTCCAAAGGAGATCAGAGTGCCAGAATTTCTTCTCGCTGCCATTGTCAGTGAGAAACTGGATTGGAGTTGGAACAAGAACATGACGAACATTTTTGAAGGAGATTTGGCGGTACTGTTGGATCGACTGGAGCTGTTCTCAACTGGCGGCTTACTCAGCCGCCTGTAACCGCAGGTGGGCTGGGCTACGTGGATACCACTGATGCTGGTTGGACCGCAGATGGATTTATGCCCGGTGCCAAAGACATCAGATCCCAGAAACGCATCCTACACGTCCTCTCTTCGTCAGGTCAAGGCATGGGGGCAGCGGACGCAAGCATGGAGCACATCGCACGGGTCACAATTGCCCAAACCTCGGCTCGACTTTGTCAGTACTTGGCGACAGATCGCAGCAGTCTGTAAGAAAGCTTTTCCTGAGTCCGGAGCATGGCAGCTTGGAGACTATGGCCTCTACGTCACGGCCGGGAGCTGTGACACTACATTCCTGAACTCAAGTGTGCCGGTCCAGGCTGCACGTTATGCCGCATTGAGATGAGGTGCAAAATCCAATGTTTACACCGGCGCGAAACTTTTGGGGCTTCACGTGTGGTGCTCTGTGTTTGCTAACCTGCTGGGGGACTGGTTAGAAGCTGCGACCTAAGGATCTACGATAGCAACATGCTGCCACTCATGTCAGAGTCCTGGGTGGTTGCCTGAGCTTGCAGCTTGCAGATAATAGAGGATACCTAGTTCTCTCATGTGCTCAGGGTTAGCATAGCCTGCAAGAGGAGCGGGTTGGCCATGCATAGGCATGGTTGCCCTGAGGTGTTTGGCTTCCAGATCCAGGTTGTGCCGTGGCCTTGGAAAGCGAATCACATGCGTGCAAGTTTGTCTTTTGAAAGCAGACCGGGCCAGCACGCGAGGTTGGATCCAAAGCTGAAGGCCTACAACCAGGGCAACGGTTTGGGCCTCAAAGTGTCACGCAACAGAGATTTCTTGCTCATTGTCTCGCGGTGGATTACATGCTTGCCACCATTCACGAGGTGTAGACGGAGAAGCTGCAATAAATTACGTGGACATCAGCTTCATGCTGAGCACGAGGTCTGCACATCGACGTCTGTCAGAAGAGCACAAAATGCATGACAACAGCACGCAGATGCACACAGCATGCTTCGATGGCTGACTCTATGAACTTCCGTGAGAGGATAGCTCCGGAGCCCAGCCGCGCTCACTCGATCGCATCCGCCTCAAGTCATGCACAGAAGAGTTTAGGTTCCATCAGAGAGCAGTTCGCTGAGGTGGTCACCGCTCCGACTGGCTTCTTTTTCCCTCAGATCTGCCGCGTTCATACTACAAACTTGGTCCTGTAAGTGCCAGCACTTCTTGGCTGAAGGTCAAAGCTTCACAATCGACACGTTCACGTTCCACCCCTAGCCTTTGTGTCCGACTCCAGAGCATGAGGGAAGCAGTTGGCTGCAGGTCTGGCTTCATCGGATTGCCGAAGGGCACTGGTTGCCAGGGAAACAACGGGAACATTCTGAAGGTCACCCTCCCCTTCATGCGAGAGCTACGGTTCTAACCTCAGGGCGCTGGCCAAGCTGCTGGACGTTCCCTGCGCATGCAGTTACAAGATATGGCTACGTAGCCATGGTAACCTCAAGGAATGAGACGTACTACATGTTCAGAGCCTTGGTGGTGAACCCACGCGAGACCTTCCTGAACGTGGATTCACCTGAAACTGGGCTATGAACAATCAAGATGCAGCCTATGGCTCATGCTAGTGTTCACATCCTTGTGATCTGCGGCTGAGGACAAATATTGGCGCATTGAATCGCAAAGAGGAGGCATGGAGCTTGTCGACCTGAACCGCGTCATTCCTTCATTCGCCATCTACCCACGCTTGCTGGAGACCCAGGGAAGCGCAGCACGAAGATGAAGATGCGGATGTTATGCTGCGTGCTGTACCCCAAGCTCCCTTTGAGGCGCTACTTCGCCGTTGCCGCGCTTTCGCAGGCCTGCGTGCCTTCCTGCGGCTGCACGGTAACGTCAAGGGCCCTGTTGCCGGTCAGGTGGGTCTTGCATCCACAACCTACAGAATACATTTCAGAACTGTGCCATTCTCAGCATGTCATGAGGGTGCTGCGAAGCGCGTTTGGCTTGAAGAACGAGGGTTCCATATCAAACGTTCGTTGTCTCATGGCGTACCAAGGATGAGTCATTGCCACCGCAGCCAGAAGCCCACATTCGCAACGCAATTTTCTCAAGCAGTTCAATCCTGGCTGTCAGCAGCGCTGCCAGGCAAACCGTGCACATATACCCACCTGTGGGTACGACTTTTGGCGGTCTGGTTGATGGTGCCTGTATTGACACTGCACGAACCCCAGAAGTTTCTGCCTGAGCATGGGCAGTCGGAATCGGTAGACCAACTTGCCAGGATCCTGTTCTGCTGAGCCTTCAATTTCCGACCCCGCTGATCTCTGGAGTGCCCCACTTTGGCATGCCTGGAGATTTTTGCAGCAGTAGGGTAGCATGAAGAGCCGGCGGTCGTGGGTGAGGTGACTCGCTTACCTGAGTGGGTGTCCTGCAGAGTTGTGAGCCCAACAGAGCCGGTATCCTACAGCATAGAACGAGTGACATGAAATCCGTAGGTTCATATACATGTGTATATACATATATATATATATATGGTCACCCCCCCCCCAGGAACTACCCAGAGCATTAAAACACTGTAAATAGCGGTGTTTT